TTTTAAACACTTATTTCCTCGAATAAATTCCAGAATGGATTAAGCATGGTTTAACCCCTTAACTGCCGCAGGTGTAGATATACGCCCTTCCAAACTACTATCATTTGCTATTTTGTGCTGCTACCCGTAAAATTATTCGCAAAGCTTTGGACTGCAACACAACAATGACCTTGACAAATTACGCGAAGGAGGATACTACTTCAGAGAAGTGTGGGGAAGAATTTGGAGAGAGGGGTGTGTCTAAAGCGGTGAAAGTAATGACTGTGCAGTATTGGCCTGGTGTTGTTTGAGTAAAACATTTTCAGGTACTTTTTGTAGTAGGTTCCAGGAATAAAGAAAGGTATAACAGATGTTTCAAACCATTTATCTTTTTTGAATTATTTTTTGATGAACTGCTAGTGCTTCATATCGTTACTGAAACTAACCGTTTTGTAGACGAGTATATGAACTAACACCTTGCAAATGAAAAATCAAGAACAAAATCTTAGTGTTCAACCAGTTCAGAAGAAATATGTTTTTTTAGGCATACTCATTTCACAAGGTATAACACTGAAACCTGGTATTATACTTTACTGGTCTATAAATGAATTGATAGAAACTCCATTTTAGGGATATTTTTTTATTATAAAAACATCATTTTTATTATACTTTTACTCAAAATATTAAATTTTGTGCATTTTTTTCTTTTATTCTTTATTTTGTGAAAGTAAACGATTTTTAGAAAGTAAAACTTGCACTTATTTTCCCCCTAATACATCGCATAACTACGCGCGCCTGTTTGAAAAACCGTGGCACTGAAAAATGAATCTTGTATGTTTTCCACAACAGTTAAGGGGTTAATGCGCAATAATTAAATAGGGCTTTATCTTTGTTATTGCGAAGCTTAGTTTCTCTAGATTGGCAACAATTCAGCTATTTTGGCAAGTTTTAAATGTAAACAAACATGCTCGCATGGCTATTCTGGTAAGTTTTAAATGTAAACAAACATGCTCGCCATGGCAAAAATAATTGGGCATAGCAGCACTTAAACAACTTTCAAATTGTTGATAGTTCTACAAATATTGCATGCAGATTACTAAGGCATAAAAACCTTAACTGGAAGATAAGAACAGCATAGTTCAACATTTTTAAAGCAAAAAGTGCACTATTTACTAAGATGTTAGAATAAAAATATTGAGCTCAGAGCCAAATAACAGAGTGGGTATATATACATATATTTATTTATATACTTTTGGTATGGCCAATGGCAACCAAAAAGGGAGGTGCACAACTACATATGATAGCAGCTCTCTATATAAAATTTCAACAATCTCAGGCTACTCGTTTTTGAGGTATGTGAGATACATATGTACATACACCATGAAAAAAAATCTCTTCTGAATCCATTTTAAATCAGTTTTATAATTCGTTTGAAGAAAAAAAAAAGTCCTTTTCCAGATGTGTATCCACCTTTATATTGTGAATGAACTCACCGAAGAGCTGTAGTGAAACAATAATACATTTGTTGCTCTGGTCATAGTGTTTCAGTGACACCTCATGTTCGCCGTTCAATTTTAGGGAAGATTTCAAGGTAAAAATTTAAAACTGATATAGAATAAGAAAATAGAAATTTCTTTTCAAACAGTTCCTTTCATACCCTAAAAAAAAATCTGGAAGTTACCTTTGAAAACTAAACATGGCTAAAATATATGGACTGATTTGTGTAGTACTGCCATCTAGTATAAATAAAGAAGGTCCAGAGTAACCTATAAATCCTTTTTCATTCAATTTTTCTGTGTGTACAGGGGGAAATTTTTAGGTGCTGCAAACGGTTAAATGCATTGCTTCAATTCCATTAATCATAGGGTGATTACATAAGATTACATCCAAGTTCTCAGTAGTACAGTAGACTCCCGATTATCCCTGCCAGCCGCACAGTTTTTTTTATTTTTTACAAGCGTAAAGCAAAGAAAATAAAAATGTTTACAAAACTGAGCGAAACGTTAAATTTACTAACATCGTGTTTATTTATAGCAAAAATATCCCAGGCCTTCTTGGAACCTTTCCGTCTGATGAGTAAGTTATTTTTTACTCACCCTTGCAGTGCCCGTTCCACCGCCCTCTCTCGTCTTAATTTTACTGACACGTCCACTTCCTCCCACTCGCCATTGTTAGTTTAAGCCTGATAGTGTTTGCGAACCGGTCAGAGTTAATTTCTTATCTTTTATTATGTTCAGTGCTTGTGCTTTTTGTTATAGACTTAAAATGCCAGGAAAACGAAAGAAGGTTGTGTTGACGATTGCGCAAAAACTAGAATTAATTTCCAAAGTAGCAAACGGCGCTACAAGGCAGCAGATGGAATTGGATTACGGAATCGCAGAAACAACAGTGCGTGACATTCTAAAGCAAAAAGACAAACTGGTGAACTTTGCATCAATGTCGGACAGTGCTTCCGCAATGAAAACGCGAAAAAACTATGAAGGGTTCTACCTTTGATGAGCTAGACACGGCATTGACAGAGTGGTTAGCTCAAGTTCGAAAAGAAGGTACTCCTGTAAATGGTCCTATCATTGCGGCGAAGGCAAAAACCTTTTTTGAGTTGTTAGGCCTTGAAAGGAAATTTTGATGCGTCTTCTGGCTGGTTGACTCGTTTTAAGCAGCGACATGGAATTCGAGAAATTGGACTTCATGGGGAGAAACTTAGTGGTGACCAACAAGCAGCCGACGATTTCCACCATGAATTTGAAGAATTTGTTTTAAAAGAAGAGCTATCTTTTGAACAAATTTACAATGCCGACGAATCGGGACTTTTGTGGAAATGTCTTCCCACTCGCACTTTAGCATTTGAAAGTGAAAGTAAAGCGGCGGGTCATAAAAGCAGCAAGGAAAGGATCACTATCATGTCTTGCAGTAATGCTACCGGTGGACATAAACTTAGACTTGTTGTCATTGGAAAGTAAAAAAAAAAAAAAAAAAAAAAAAAAAAGGAGGTGGGCTGGATGAATTGAAACATTTTTCAAGAATGGTCCGAAAAAATCTTTGTTCTTCAAATGCGTAAACATCTTAAATCAAAAAACCTGCCTGAAAAAGCTGTGCTATTGATCGACAACGCACCTTCTCACCCAGCAACAAGCATGCTAAAGTCTTCTGATGGACAAATTTTTGCAAAGTTTCTCCCCCCAAACGTTAATCCAACCCGTGGACCAAGGAGTCATTGCAACAATGAAGAGAACATACCAGACCAAGGTGCTAATGACCAAAATTGAAGAAGGTTATCATCTGAAAGAGTTTTGGAAACACTACACAATCTTGGACAGCAGCTACGATATTGCATCTGCATGGGTCTTCGTGAAACCGTCAACCCTCATAAAATCATAGAGAAAACTCATGCCTAAAGTTGAAGCCAACAACAACCTAACCCCTTTGAGTTGTGAAGAAGAGAATGAAGATGTAGACAAGCCCACGGCAACTCTTGCCGATATGGTGAAAACAGTTCCGGGTGGTGAGAATGTCGATGCTGAAAACATTAACGAAGGTATTGGAGTGTGACGTCAACGAACCTGGCTTCGAACGCTTGACAGATGACGAAATTGTGAAGAAAGCAAGGGGAGAGACCGAGAATGAAGGACAGCGAAGTGAAGGCAAAGGCGAAGAAGAGCCCACTGTGCAGATGCAGAAGACTCACGAAGCGGCTTTGCAACAAGTCGACGGACTGCTGAGCTATTTGGAAGAACAAGACGACGCGGAGTTGGCCGAGAAACTTATGCTATGCTACGAAAAATGCAATCTCGGATCAAGAGAAAATGCTTCCAAAAGCAAACACAAGATTTCTTCAAAAAAGTTTTACAAACTTTTGTAATTACAATACATTATGGTGTTAAAACGGTACATACGTATTGATTTTTCTGTGTATCCTTACGCCTCTCATAAGTAAGTAAGTATAAAGCACTTTTCTGTTTTCATTAACAAAATGCATTTTAGGTTAGTTTTGAGTGATATACTAAAATATTAAGCGTTAGTTAAACATTTCCTGCTGTTTATTTTACGTTTTATTGTACATAAAACAATTTTGCAAAGATGAAATGACTGTTTCCTCTTTTGCTATACCCGTTTTTAGCTTTTTTCGGATTATCCGCGGCGGCAGCGCCACCCAATTCCGCGGATAATCAGGAGTGTACTGTAGTCTGTGTCAAGAGTACCCAATACATAATTAGCAATGTAGGGGGCATAAATTGCATGTATGTCTCCGATAGGTATAAAATTAACCCTATCAGATGACTTCACACTTAGAAGTTGCAGAATAAGTTGATAAGCCAGGCAGCTGCCATTTACAAATTATATTCTAGCTATGTCAGTCACCAGATTCATAATATATAATTTTCTTCCTTTGAAACAGTAAATTATAAAACTTTCTTGGTCAGAGATTTGATAATACTAAATGAGTGACAGCTAAATTAGACCATACAACAGATTGGTCTACCATGGTCAGCCAGATCAAGAACTTGCAGGAAAGCTTTGTAAGCATTTCTCTTTAAAAATTTTTACTTGTGTTACCCTTTCTCTTTTTTATATGTTAAAATCCTGGAAAAAAATTACGGTACCCCATGCCGATTTTTGTCGCAGCTTTAAAATTACTAAAAGGAAAATCTTTTATACTTGATTTTTTTATTTACCAAAAACAAATGAGCAAGATTACTTTTATGGTTGGAATAAAAGTTTATAATTATTCTCTTTAGAATTTTTAGTAAGCAAGAGTCATACACTCATATTGATTACCTTATTGTGCTTTATGTAACACTACTTATTCCTAATGCCAACTGAATGGTTTAGCAATGTCTAAAACTGACCCTTAAAAGCAGCTTTTGAATTACTTCACTGTGCCAGAAAGATAACCAAACCATAGTTAGAAAAAAGTAAAACTCAAAGTCAAACTAAAGTTAGATTTTCTTAAGTTTAAAATCAACATAGCTCAAAGATCTAAAAATTTAGTTGTTTCACAGATAACACAGCAAAGACTAAAATAACTTGAAAATTTTTTATTGTAACATATTTAAAATATATCAACTGTTATAAAATTAAAATATATCTAATTCAAAAAAGGAATTGTTTTCATCTAAATGAAATGGATGTACATAGCTTTTAGGAATTCGAAGTATTTCAGTATCCTCTTTTACATAAAGAAATGAAAGGCACAAAAAAATATTTATACATACAACATGAGATTACATACATGAACATTATAAAATTGTACTGTAATTTTAACAAAATATAAAGGGTAAATTCAGTAAGTAAAAGTTTTAAAATTCTGCAGAACAACAATGCAATATTTTTTTCTCTTTCATATCACGATATATTTTCAAAAAGGCATAGCTGGAAGACCAAAGTAACACATAAAAATGTACAATTTTGCATTTTACAAACAAATTGAACAATCATATATATAAAAAACTATGATGTCACCATTCCATATATTCAGAGAATATATAGGAAAAATGCTAAATTTTTACACTTATGATTTATGACTACATATAATTTATATAAACTAAAAAAGTTTTAAAACTGAACATGGAACACTTCAGGAACTTAAATGCCAACTGTACAGGATAGCTAGAAAGTCCCTTTACACTATACCTTGAACCAACTGTATAAGAAACAAGACTACAAAGCCTTTACCACATAAAGGCTTTTATTATGAAAATGTGAAATGTGCAGTCACCTACATAGCTTTCTTCAGAATCCAACAGATTAGCACAATCTCCTGCTCCATTCCTATGGCTTGCAGAAAATCCCAATACATGAACTGGCATCTATTTCATGCTTTGCAACCCATCTACAGTTCAGTACCAGTTATGCCAACTAGATGAACTCCAAGTTTGATGACATGTGGATGACCTTTCTATATGTAGAAATGCCAGTACTCATGATGCAACTCTTGACAATACCATAGGCAAAACCAAATTCATCAACAATCTCAGAAACTGTACATTAATCTTTCAAGCATCAATGAACACACTACATTCAAACTCAGATAGATCTCTGTAATAAACAATCAGGCAGTAATAAATGCTTGCTGTGCCCTTCTGCATTTGGCATTGAAAGTATTGTTGCAGATGATGTTCTTTCAGTGCTCTTCCCATATTTTCTGACTTTGAATATATTTGTTACAGGCTAACATGTATTTATTATTACTGGATAACTAATTTTTTATAACCTTTCAAATGCATTTGACTTTTTGTATTCATCCAAAAGTAGCACTTGCATCAAATTTGCTCAATTACAATAAAGTGAAGTTAGTTTTAAAATGAAGCCAAGTGAAGATATCCAAAAACTGACAAAAATTATCTAGTATTATTTCTCATCCCTTTCCATGTAAGTGCAGCAATTTAAAACTATACTTCACCTCTAATCTAATGTATGATTTTTCTTTCAAAAATACATGATCAAATATTCTGTACCACAAACAAGAGCAATCAGCAGGCTTGACAGTCCAGGCTGAGGTCTCATGAGAGGAGTTGTATAAAAACAAAAAAATGCTCCATCATCAATAACTATAAGATGCTGTTAATACAGGATTTAAAAATAAACATGAAAGTTGTTTTACACAATGTTAGTATAATGGAACTTTTTAACTATCTTGCACACACAAAGTCAAACAAATGCCAGGAATGTAAAAACATGTTACATCAAAATTTTTGAAACAAATCAAAATTATCTGAGAGTTAAAACATGGTAAAATGATTTTAAGTTTTAACAGATATAGAGAACTTTTCCAGTACCCGATGAAATAGCCCCGATCTTGATGGATTTCATTTTCTTACATTTTGTGTTATAAATATATTTAATATATACAATGAAGAATCATATCAAACACTGAAATTATAATTCCATAATTCTGTAAAATTAGCAAGAGATAAGATAGTTTCTAAGTCAGAGAAGTTTTCATTTTAGGCATTTTTATCCTTCAAATTATTTCGATATGTTTAATAAAAAATCTTTCGTAATATGTTTTTAAACTCCTAACATTCCTTCCCTCCCCCCATGTATCAAGCTAAAAAAACTTACAAAAATATAACATTTTAAACTTTTACATTCTATATACCTAATCAAAAGAGAATTTTCTTTTGTACTTCCCATAAATGGCTTAACAATGAATACATAGAAGAACAATAAAATATCCATATAAGTTTTACGATTAACATCTAACCAATACTGGAAGAGATGACACTTTTACAACAGATCACAATCTTTTTTTAAACTAGCATATACAGAGAATAAATAATCTCTCTGTACGTATAACAATAAATCTTTTAATTACACTATTACATCTAAACAGATGTTTCATTCTAGAATATAATACATTTTCCATACACATAACACACAAACAATCAAATTCTACATTTACTCTCAACATTACTTAAAATTCCTTTTGGTTCGGGTTAATTCCAAAGATGTTTCCTGAAATTTAAAAACTAATTATAAAAAAAATCACAGAAAAATAAAATTTTAAAGGAGAGAGAAAAGAATAGTAGTTGTAATATATTTATATATAATCTATACATGAGGAAAAATCATTAATTGATTAGAAATTGATGTGAAATTATAACAAGTAAACAGAAGTAATTTCAAAAGGCACTATCAGATAGCAGTACGGTTGTACTTCATAACGATTTTATAAGCAATATCATGAATCGCTGAAGGACTGTTGGGGCACTGTAAAAATGGCTACCATGCTAGAATGTACATTAGAGGAACAGGAGTTTGCAAGTAGTCTGTTTTCAGATATGACGGCTGAATATGAATGCTACATTATATATACTATACTAAACTACTGTACAAAAATTAAGGACAAGATGGCTTTTTCAATATAACATTGTACAAAAACTTTCCAAATCTACAAATAATACCATAAGATTCCCAAGCTAAAGAAATCAAAATGATAGAAAGTAACTTTATTGAAAAAGCAGCATGGAGCACAATGTAACAGAAGACCGAAACATCCATGTGACAGGTGTCCAGCAAGAAACATCTAGCCTTTAGTACAGAATATGATCTCTCCTGACTGCTACACAGGTTTCACATCATTTGTCCATGCTGAATATGAGGTTGGCTATGAGCTGTTGAGGCATTGCTGCTCGTTTCTCTTGCAGCACCATTCGCAGTTCCAGAATCATTATTGGCAATAAGTTACGTGCTGCCACGCGTTTTCCTAGAAAGTTCCACACATGCTTGACTGGATTTAGATCTAGAGGCCTTGCTGGCCAATCCATGTATTCAATATCCTCACTCTCTAACAGCTCTTCAACAGTAACTGTGTGATGAGGTACAGCATTGTCATACATGAAGAGGAATTGATGACCCACAGCACCTGCATAAAGACGCATGTAAGGAAGAAGAACCTTGTTACAATAGCAGTCCTTGGTGACTGAACCTCCTTGGAAGATGTGAAAGTCGATACAAGCTACCAAGCATGATGCCTCACCAAACAAGAACCGGTACCTTTCAATGATGCTGGAGGGGTTGTCGCATGTTTCCCGCTCTCTCCAGTTATCTACGTGTCTAGAATTGCAACTCAGACTAAATCTGCACTTATTCGTAAAGAGCACTCAATTCCCATTAATTACCTATCCAATTCTGATGTTCCCTGCACCTCAGAAAACATCTCCGATACGCAGTATACACCGTACACACGTTGTGTGCAAACAGACCACCATTGTGCAGCCTCCTTCCCATGTAAAATGCAATACTGGTCATCCAATCACCTGTTCCATGTGTCTTGAGATTTCCCGCGTTGTTCGACGACCGCTCCTTCTTGCAACATAGGGCTAATTACCAGTCGTCTGCTGCTGTGGTTGCTTATAGATGACCACTGCTGAACCATCAGACAGCTGTCCGTGTAGTTTGAAATGCTCTCCAAAGTCATGAAACAATGCTATGAGCAATCCCGAATGCCACAACCACACTTCAACCTTGAGTAAAAGCATCCAGATATTGTCTAATAGATTTACTGTTTGACATTTCACGCTGATGCAGCAACCTGACGTCGTTTAAACTGATATACGCTGTGCACACGGAATATAAAGAAGGAGGGGAAACTGGTATTACCACTTTTCTCAAAAATGGTTCACTTATTGTCGCACAATTTACAGAGGGCATTGCAATCACTAGCTTTTTGTCTTTTCGTAGTATTTGCATAGGCAGTAATAGCGAAAATATTGATTTGATATCAATTTTCATTATGAAAATTTCAAAGAATGGAAACTGTTTTGTCCCTGGATGCAACAGTAATTATGGAACTGTTAGACTGAAGAATAAAAGCTTTGGAATCAAGAAACCAGATATATTTAGAGTTCCAAAGGCGAGCAACATTTATATTATGCCTGATCATATATACAAATTTATATAACTTTTCAGAATGTCTGGATTGTTGTAAATAAGAGAATATTTATGTATGCTGATTTAAAAAAGTATAAATTGGAAATTAAATTAAATATTGCCATAACTTGTGCATCTGCTTTCATCCCTGAAAGTATGCAATCGTTAGATTTTAAAGTTAAAAAAACTTCTGAAATTATACAAGAATGATAGAGTTTGCCCTTCTATTCATTTACAGAAAAGAAAGATAAACTCATTCCCCTTCTTTCAGTTTGTATAGGTTTTTTAATCAATAAAAAAAAGAAGACATTTGCATTGATGAGTGAAAAACATAACAGCAGATAAGTGTAATGAAAAATGAATTTTCTGTGGGATAAATTCAGATATTAAATAAGTTATGAATATGAAAATCATGCCCCTGATCACATGAATGAATGGGTATTAAAATTAAGATTAAATCGGTTACAGTGCAGAGTGAGAACCATTGCACAAGGATTTAAATTTAAATTTGAATTATATAGAACTGTCAAGTGTTAAATGCTGGAGTCAAATTTTAATTTGACATTACAAATTCAAACTTAAATTTGCATCAAAGTAATGAAACAAATTACAGCAAAAATATTTTTATTTTTATGTACTGAATTTGTATTTATATATAACTAATCAAATATTTTTTACAGGATTCTGTGCTGCTAGAAAAATAGAGACATGGAATTTCTAGAGAGCACACAAATACAATTGAAGGTATATGCGGCACATTAAAACTAGCTCCCCCATATAACAGAAATGGAGACTTTGCATTGTACTTGCAGAATACATGTCTCAACGAAACAGTGTGCACAAAAGATTGGACATAGTCACAAAATTTTTAGAAATTGTTCGTGAATTTGATGGTGACTTTTGCTTTGTTATTCAAAAGTTCATTAATAAGTATTTGTGTATATGTTAACATTGTGAAGATCTTATCAATAAATTTTTAACATGTATGTTTTCTAATGTTAACATGTAAGTTTTCTAAATTTGCATTAAGGAAATAATTTTATGATGGAAATCAAGGTAAGTGGTCTTTTTTTCAGTGTGCATATGTGTGCTTTCTCAAGGATAAAAGATACTGAAATTTATTCGATGTTCTTCAAAAATAATTTTGCCACATCAGAAAATTTGTCATAAAATTAGCAAGTATAAAAATTTAAGTGAATTGAATTGAATGGAAATTTCACTCTCAAGAATGGTTATTGCATAAAGTTAAATAATTCTAAGGATTTGAATCAAATAATTTATTAGACATTGAATAATTTCTCCATATTCAAAGCAACAAAATTGAAAACAAAAAAAAAAAAAAAATAATTCCAAAATGTAAATAAGTTGATTGGAATTCCATCTTCCTCTTCAAAGAAAAAAAAATAAATTCATTTCATAAAAAAATTAAGAAAATCTAAATTTTCAACAAATTTTTTGATTTAACACATAAAAATTTTAAAATACCCATTTTAAACATTGATAAAATCTTAGTCTTACAGTAAAATGCTACAGTTATCAAATCTTATTGTCTGCTTGCCATTTTAATAACACTGCAAATCTAATAATAATAATAAAATCAGAGTGATGTGAAAATTCAATACATCAGGTTGCCAGACCACAATGTTACAGATTGGTGAGAGTTTTGGCGATATTTACCATTGGCGAAAAAATGGGGTTATATGCAAGCTCTTCTCAGACTGTTAGTTCCATAATGATCATCATTATTTTATATGAGGCTGGCACCGTGATACTAGAATTTTTATTTATCCACATATTTATTTTCCCTCCTTCTTCCCCCTCCCCTGAAATGTGGTGAATATCTGATGAGGTCACATTAAATTTATGTCCTTGGAATTATTGTCATACTATATCAGACTGCAATGCTTATTTGAAACACAAATTCACTTTGGATCCAGGTGAATCAGCAATTACGAACATTTTGTAAAATCCTTCCTTGCTTAATTTAGCAAAAGTACATAATTTCTTCATAAATGATTCAATAAGCTTCTTATGGCTGTTTTGAATAAATGAAATAATGCTGAATTAGTTGTTGTCCCACTAGCATTGAAATCCTGTGAATATGAGAAATTTCTCATATATCCCCATCTTGCAGTTCAAAAAACGTATGAAATCTTATCGAAAGATTCTTTTGGAAGGTTATGTATAATGACACAAATAATTTTGTCCTCCCGTATCATTTATGTAACAAATAGAAATCTTTCACTCCTAAACAAACTGCATTTAAGCAGGGTTCGTACACATTTCTGCACATGAAAATTAAGTACTTTTAAGGACCATTAATGAAAAAAATTAAGAACCTATCAGCCAATAGGAGATAAAAAATTCAATTCAATCAGCTTATATCTGAATTTCACTTTTGTAATAACATTCTAAGTGTAAAATAGTAAGTAGGATGCATTCTTATTAAACATAACTTTAAAACAAATTTGAGAATGAAATCCACATTATAAGGTTTATCAAATAGCATTAAAATTTTTACACGTATAATAGTTGGTATTTGAAAGAAGATTGGGGGCATTTTTACATTTATTAACAGTTTATGCTGATTTTTCTTTATGCCTCTTTTGCCATGTACTTATTCCTAGAGGTTTAGTTAATAGCAGGTAAATTTTATGTCAAATGGCATAGGTTAAAATGAGAAATAAAATAATAATCAGCATGATTTGTAACAGAAGATTAGCTGTTGCTAGTGCTGCTGCTTGCAGGGAGAGAGACTTGTTAATAAGAAAAAACCTGAAAGCCTGTTGTAGGCACAGCTGGCAAGTTTTTAAAGTTAGGTTGTGCTTCGTCTGTCTGAAGCAATTAGTGTATAAGGTATTTCTCCCGCATTTTTTGGCATGTCGTCGTTGTGTGGTGGTCTGCACACTCGGCTTGTATTCAAGAGGTCCGCGGTTTGATTCCCGGCAAAGGCTTTGCATATTTTTCATCTTTCCTGCTTCCAAAAAATACTCAATGTCTCTAAAGAGGGTAGTTAAATACCCTCAGTCGTTACAGATTTACATGGCCATTATTAAAATTACAATCTAATAACATTTCACAGT